TCTTGCGGCTTTTACAGGCAGTATCGTCTACTTCAGCTGCTTCTTCTAGTCTATTGCATTAAGTTGATTTCGCGCTTCAATGGATTTTGTTGCTACCACAACTTTGACTTTGTTCGTCTTTTTTTTCAATACTCGTTCAGAAAGTGAGAAAAAGAGTTGATAAGTTTTTATGTGATTTCTCTGAAACTGTGTGCATGATGATGGTATAGAACTTGAAATATATCTATGCATATATCTAAATTCCCATGTGTTTAATTATTTTGAATCTGCTCTCTGGAAGGCTTAACTATTATGGAACTTTGGAAGCTATATATTTGAAGTTACCAATGTAAACTTGCATATAAACCTATTTATATAAAACTGTGTAATAAATCTTTTACAGTGAGATTCTTAAGGTGATTTCCTCTTGAGCTACATTAAAGATATACCGAAATGAGTATGTATGTATCCTCCAATAATCACATATAGCTCCATAAACACTCATAACTATTTTGACACCTTGAACAGGTATTATGCAGTCGACTATCTGCGTGCTTTTAGCTTCTTTTTGTGCTTAGAGTCTTTTGACTTTCGCTCAGGACTCTTTCGCTAAGCCACTTTTATACGCTCAATCAAATGCCTGCGCCTCGCTAACAGGAAACTAAGCACATGTGTGCGTATATGCACATACATACATACATATATATAGACACATATAGTATTTATTTATAGAAATTTCTATACGCAGAAGCAAAGACAAGACCAAGTTAAAGTCAGAGTCTCCAGAAATCAATGGAATTTTACTAAAATGGCTACTTAGACTTTGATTCTCTATTATTTCAAATTTTCAGAGCTTAAGATTGAGTTGGGCAGGAATTTATAATTAATTGCCAGCAGGTCCTTTTGCGTTGGCAACTCCTTTTGTCGCTGTCATTTCTTGAACTTTGTTCTAATTAAAACTAATTAACTTTGGAACAAACGCGAAAATTAAAGAAAATCTTCATACAAATCGAGTGGCATAATCAACAACTCGTTTGCCTACCGTTAAAAGTCAAAGGTCAAACTAATTTCAGTCTAAAAAGAAATTGTTGCTAAAAGCAATTAAAAGGCCAACCAAATATTGATAGAGGACTTTCGCTCTCTCCCTCTCTCTCTCTATTGCTCTCTTTTTACTTTAACTCTTCAAGAAAGTTTTGCTTTGTGCTTGATTTAAAGCTATTGTATTGCCTTTGATTGGATTCCGATGCCTATAAGAATCTGTCAACAGCGCCTAAAAACACAAGAAAACACTTTGCTGGCAGGCATAGCCGACTGCATAATGCTCGTTCATTTTTGAAAAAAAAAAAACAAACGAAATATTTATAATTTTAATTTGAAAATATCATTATTTACAGTTAGAGCTCATAGCCTTCTTTAAATAGATGATATTTCTAATGCTGACGTCAACTATCTTGTTTCAATACAAACAGCAGAACTTCACCCAAGAACTAATATGCTCTTGGTTTGTACAAAAGCCAAGGCAGGCCTCTAAAGAAGTTTTGCCTTAACAAAGGGTCTCTAGCCTAAGCAACTGCTAATTTATGTAAATATTTTCAAGGACCTTGCTTGTCTGCAAACTTTTCTTGTCGCCTTGCACTAAATCACATACGAAAGTCGTTTATTACAACTTTGTACTTGATTCGCATGGCAGTTGCTTGAAAATTGTTGAGTCTAGTTTGGATTTTGGTTTTGTTTAGTCTTAAACCGATTTGCCTTGATTCTTAAATGTTAAGCCGTAAAATTCATATTCAAATTGAAAAGCAAATTTTATTTGCCAGTTTTCCTCTTTTTTATGCCCAAAAGACGTGAGCCATAAAATTTGCATGTGACTTAAAGCTGAAAGAAAGCCTTTTGTTGATTTTGCTTGAAAAACTGATTGAACATGGTCTTAGTGGATTCTTCTTTTATATATGTTTTGCTATTGTATTTTCTACATCTTGACAAAGCATCTTTTGTGATTATATATAAAGCATACAAATATCATATCAACTCCAAACTCTCTAAAGGAATTTTTTTATGGCAGAAAGCCTCTTATAGCAAGAACTTTTATAGCACATAACTGCTCAAATTTCTCTCAAAATATTTTATAGCAAGTTTCTCTCAAACCCTTTTATAGTAAGCTATCTTCTCTCAAAGTATATAATATTATAGCATATCAAGATTCTGTTAAATCTTTTTATAGTACTTGCTATTACAAAACGTTCTCGCGATTTCTACTATAGAGTAATTTTACGGAGTATCTTCTAGTTCAGCAACTGTCTACTACACAAATATATGTTTGACTTGTTTCCATTACATTAGGCGCGATTTCGTTCTTCTTTGAGTTTTTGAAGGCTACTTCGGCCACTCGCAACAAATATACTTATGAATTTTTAATAATACATTTTCTTTACAATTTCTTTGGAAATTTCGCCCTTGAACAACAACCGATACACACGTGTTCGAATCCCACCCGACCATTATGGCTCTGTGGGAACAAGAATAATAATAATCATAATGATAATAATCAATAATGCATTTTTTATTGCTAAAGTTCTAGAAAACAATTAGCAAACTGATGAATAAGCAATTCGAAGTAAACCAATTATTTCTTAGTTCGAGTTAAGCTAATCTTGTTTCGCTCAAATGTTTTCTTTAAGTTGTTGCTGCAGTTCTTCAAAAACAAATTAATGAAAGTTTCTTAAAATTTTCTAGCTCATGACACATTTTTAATGCATTGTTTATGTTGAGTAAACATGAATATTTATTTTGACGGACTGTCTGCAATGACTGTCTCGATGCGACTAGGAATTTCTCTAAGAAATTGTGTACATATCTGAGAGAAAAAAAAGAGGGAGGGCGAGATTTAGGGGGTCAGAGTTTTAGAGAGGGATGCAGGGATGAAACAAGAGAGAGGCAGAGAAAGATAGAGAAATATGGAGACAGAGAGAGAGACAAGTAAAATATGTGGAAGCACAGAAAAGGAAAGGAAAATGAAGAGAGATAGAGGGAAAGAAAATTCGAGATAGAATTTTAATAAAGAAAAGTATAGGCCCTTATTATAATCTCTGTTTTACATATAGAATCGTATGTCGTTAAGCATTTAAATAAACATGCTCTTGAATACATTTCAAGAGTTTCTACTTAGACTTAGACACATTCAATATAGATATAAGTATTACTGAGAAATTGCGATAGATAACATTCACTATGCAAATTTGTAAAAACATATAATTTTTCTAACAGCTTGACAGCCACTGCTTACAGTTTGATGCACATTCATCTTATAATTTCCAGCTCGCTTTCAACTATCAACAGAAAAAAATGGCGCAGTTTCATTTTTTATTATTCTCTTTTCTTTTCAACTATTTTACATGCTTTGAGTAAAACTAGTTAAGGCGATTCTCTTTATCTTTTTAATTGCGTAATGCAGTTACTACAGATTACAAATAGTTTTTCAATTAGACCAGCTTTAATATACATTTAAGTATACAGATTATATCCATTATATAAGATTATATATACATATATTAAATATATAGTTTTTTCCATTTACGTAAATTGAATTTACATTTTAATAGTTAAGTTCGCTAATTGTTTTGCTGCTCTGAATGTTGATAGACAAAAAGTTGGCAAGAGCACATTCCATGTAATTTCTATTTGGCTGTTGACAAACTTTAGTTAAGCACTTAATTAGCGTTAATTACAGCTGTTTAACTTTAAGATAATTTAATACGCTTCAAAAGCCGCAGCAAAGTTCGCATCTAATTTTTGTTAATTTTGCATGTGGCTGCTGGCGGGAAAAGCCAAAAGACAACTTTTCCAACTTACACTTTCACGCCCCCACTATCTCTTATGCTCTCTCTCTCTCTCTCTCTTCCACTCTCTGCTGTGCGCCTAATTGTATGCAGTAATTTATGTTGAAAGTTTTTTTTCGCGCGAATTTCTCATTTCATGCAGTGCAACACTTTCGCGTTATTAGAAAATTCCAGCAGGTGAGAGATTTATGCCACAGCCATTAGAAACGCTGCCAATGAAACGAACTCCTCTATTTATATAGTAGATAAAACCTCAACGGAGAGACAGACAGACAGACAGACAAACAGAGAGGTAGACAGATAGACTGCCAGACAGTCATCATGAATTCTTTCTGTTTGCATTAGTATCGAGTAAACAGGGTATATTGTTTTGGTTGTAGTGCGTGCGATAGGCAGAAATAAGTATATATGTATATATGTATAAATAAATACACATTTGATCAGAGAATAGAATTGATTTGTGGCCTTGTGCGCCTCAACTTTCGACTGTCTGATAGCCTGTGTTTCATTCCATTCGTCTGTCTTTCAGGTTTCTTGAATATCTGTCTGTCTTTAAGTGAACTTTTCAGGCATTCTTTTAGACTGTCTTTCCGGCTGTATTTCAGCCTGTCTTCCTGTCTACCTTTCAGTCTGTTTTTTTATTTCAATCTCTTTAGCTTTATTTAATCAAAACACTGTCTAACTGTCTAACTTTATACTTTCTTCTCTTCTTAGCTTCTTTAGTATCAAAATGTCTGTAAGATTTTTTCGAAATAGCTGCCGAAGACTAGAAAAATGGTAAAGCATTTTATAAGTGGATCGCCTTAAATAATTTAAGTCATCTAGGTAAGTATAAAATATTTCTGTTGCCATTATTTCAGTATATCTCAGCTATTTTTAGATATAAACTGCAAATTTTGTTTATAAATTATACCAGGCACACAAAAATATTTTTAAAATATGAATTTTTAAAGATACACATGTAAGTTACTTGTAGAATACATTATAGCTATCGCTCTCAATTCCCGCTCAAAATGGATGATAAAGTTCTACCCAATAGATTTATTATCAACTATCAAGCTCAGTTAATAAACACCAAAAGTATCCAATAATTCACTGCTGTGCATCTCATAGTCGTGCATACCCCACTCAGAGTACTCTGATTTGATTTGATTGTATGCTTTAATAAACTCACTGTTGACTTACCTATGAACAACGCCTGGCATTTGTTGTATTTCGATTTGTTTTTGTTTCGTTTTTGATTGAAGCCGGAAAAGGCAGCAATTGTTGTTGTTGTTTTGTTTATTATTTTGTTGTTGTTTATAATTTGTTGTAATTGTTTTAATGGCTAATTTCGCGCATTTCAATTAAGCTCTTCGATTGCATAAACAATTTATTATGAATTTTTACAAGATTATTAAAACGGAATTCACTTCAAATAACAAAATTTCCAAATTTCAACACTCAATTTTTCATTTCTAAAATTAAAGAATTTACAATTTTTATGCTGTTATTATTTATTTAGATTGTTTTTTATGGCTCGACTTTTATTGTATTTATTTATTTTACTACGAGTGTTTGGATTTTTATTTAAGAAACTTTTCTGTGCGTTGGCAGAGCTCTGACCCGGAAGAGTTTTTTCTTCTTATTATATCTTCGAGTGGGAGATAATGAGCACTTGAGTACAGTGATAACTAGGCTAACGAACGGCTGCTTAGCGCGCTGATTTGCGTAAAGTTGCATAAATTCAGCTCTTTCATGTTTCACCGTACTTTAATGTGGCTGACATCCGGCTTGGGAGGGATGCTCGACTGCCCACAAGGCAAAACTTTATTTTCTTATATTATACATAAATTCTATGTTAAAGAAGTAAAATAAAGTAGAAGAACTTGAATTCTTGAAGCATAACTTTATAAAGAAAGTATCTGGGGTATATTTATAAGGTTAAAGTCAGTTTCGTAAAGTTCAATAGGCAAAGTGCTCAAACTATTTAAGCAAGATTTAAACGGTTAAATGCTTCATGAACTTTTTATAAAGACATAAAAGAAATTGCAAACTTTAATGAACCGTTTTAATGTTAAAAAAATGTATGAAGAAATTATGAAAATAGAAAATACAAATACATTTCTTTGACAATGTATGCAAACAATTACTGTATATTAATGAAAATTATTCATGGATAATTATTTTTTCTATTCTTTGTTTTTAGATAAAAATATGAATATTGTTTTCTGATTTTTTTTTTCTTTTTTAAGAACCGAAATTAAGCAATTGTTCACTCTAGCCGGCCTTCACTGTACTTAGTACTAGTACATATATTGCAACATTATTAAATTTTATTTGGGTCTTCATTTGTGTGTATTTGTTTTTGTTTTTTTTTTTTAATATTTGTTTGCTTTAAGATTTTAAAGATTTACGAGTTTGAGTTGACGTGCTTTAGAACATCTCTTCATCTCTATGTTGATCTTAATTCCGTGTGTTCTTAACCTTGTATTTATGGCCTCTTTTGCAGAGCTAACGGTTAAACAGACAACCTTCTTTTCTGATATTTTGTTTTTGTTTATGCCTTCAACAAATCGCCCACCAATGTGGATTTTGTTTGTTTATGTGTTGTGCTGTTTTATCATTGGGATGGATTTTGATATTTGCCAAAAATGATTTTGAACTACATATTTATTTAAGTGCCGTGTTAATTTGCCAAACATTTATGCGTTCTTAATTTTTAAACACTGTCTATGCACATAAATCAAAAAATTGTTTCATAAATTTGAATACGGCAAATAAAAACCACCAACAACAGAGAATACGCTTCAAATGCAAATGACGAACAACCCCGCGTTCGCCTGACGTTGTCGAACTGCATTAATTTCTGAATAATCAAACCGTTACGTGAGCGAGCACAAAACCAAAGAAAAATTGAAGAGACGCCCAAGAGGTGGGCGAAAGAGCGAGATAGAATTGCAATGACAGATCAAACAAATTGAAAGGCACGCGCAAAGTTCATGAAACGCAAGGCGGACAGAAGGAGAGAGCAAAAGAGCGAATGAGCGGGAGTGAGTGAGCGTGCGAACGCTCGTGAACTTTGATGATCAACAGACTCTGACAGATGTGAGCGAGGAGAGCAAAGCGAGTAGAACGCACAGATAAAAAAAACCCAGGCAAACAATTAAAATCTGTAAACCAAACACAAAAATAATACATTTCTATATGTACGCATTGTGAGAGGCCACAGAAATAAACCATAAACCAATATACGTGTATTGAGTATTTGCAATAAGAGCATAAGCGGCCCGCATCTATGCATATTATTAGCATATTTCAATTGTTGTCGAGTTCACGTAAATCACATGGCCAAAATGCAGCAGGAATTGTTCCTTGTTTATGACTTTCGTTTTGCATAATATTTGCGTACTTTGCGTAATTTTATAACTTCCACTGTATAATACTTTCAAAATGATTTTAGCACTCGTCTTCACACGAAATAATACAACGTCGGCACTAATTTAATTGTAGAATTGGATTTTGAAATATTATTAATATATACAATACGACGGACGCTGAATGTAAACCGAACACGTTGAAGACACAAATACAAATAAAGCATAACAAATGCGACGCCAACGTTTTTGTCTTTGCGTTTTTGCCTTTTGCTTTTGCACACGCCGGAACAGCTGTTGATCGAAACTGGGGTAGCGACCAGTGTTGCCACAATAACATACAAGCACTAAATATATACGTTGCGTTTTGAATTGCGCTCAACTTTTAACAATTGTCATGCAAGCGGTTAAATAATTCAAGTGGTGATAATTTACCTAGCGCACGCCCCTTGCTGACCTTCGCACAACTCTCTGTGCACCTTTAATTACTTTATTATGCTTTTTTTAAGCACGCACACGCTGTGATTTAAAATTTTTTGTTTAAAGTAGAACAGGAGCAGCAGAGTTGAAAGAGCAGCAACGACTGAGAAACACGTTTTCACTTGGTCACAGTCCGAACGCGACTGAGACTGAATTCGGAAATGCTGCCTTTTTATATACGCGCCACATGGGCGTCGTTTCCTAAAGGGGTTGAGCAAAAGGATTCACTGCGCAGGCGCAAAGCGAAATTCGTGTCAGCTGAATGATTTTTTTTTCGCTTTGTAGCTGCAGAATGAGAGTCATGCAACAGCTTTTGCTTTCGCTTTCGTTTTTGCAACTTCAGGCTAAACTTCGCGAATGAGCACCCCTCTTACCTCGTCAACCAACCACCCTTACCATTGCCAATAAGACATGTAGGTGCCAAGAGGTCAACCGCGTGCCACATTTTGTGGCACGGCATGGGGGTGCGTGGGTGGGAGGCTGGGCTTGAGCTGGTTGACTGCCCTGACCTAGCCAAACGCCGAAAATGTTGCGTTCTCACATAAGGCAGCTAGTCGAAACACATCTATGTACAGTGAATACCCGTGTATCTAAAACAGCATCTTACAGTGAAGGCTCCATAGAAGAATTATTGTTTAATTTAAATTTTAATATTCTTTCAAACAACTATTCGTATTAGAATAGAGCTCCACTCAAGTCAGTTTTCACAGTATAACTAGCTGTACTCTTTAGCTAGCTTGTACTGTAAAGCAATTACAATTCCAACTTCAATTAGCTTAAGTTTGATAATACTCTTCAAGCTCTTCTCACGGTGACGTATGTTGCTTGGCCCGTTTAGTCAGTTTTTACTGTACTGTTTGACCTCAACTACAATCACATTTCAGTGCATCTCAAATGTTAGTTTAGTCTCCCCCATTAAAAGCAAAAGTCAACTCAATTCCTGCCGCAATCGACGCTCCCGCCTCCAGTCGCGCAGCTTCTCCCGCTTCATTTCGTTGCGTGTGCGTCTCTCTTGGTGCTGTGGTGCGGGATTCCCATGGCGTCGCTTGGTCGCATTTGTGTCGAAAGCCTCGAAATGTGTGACACGTGCCGGTGGCTGTTGAATTCCCAAGCCTGTGCGCTGTTTGCGCAGCACAGTCTTCACTGGGTATAGGCGACCATTCTGCTGGGGTCCCAATCCATGCTCACGATCCCAGCCCTGCCTAACCATCAATTGTAGACCGCGATTCCTAACCGAGATGTTGAATTTGTGCAGACGATGCGGCGGCAGGGATTTCATGTTGAATCTGTGCACCGTGGAGGTTTGATGGTCGCGCCAAGTGGATTCACTGTATTCCCTTTGGCACAATTCACAGTAGAAGGGTGATAAAGCTGCCTCTGTTGACTCCATTTCATGCGGAGCTTGCACTTCCGATTTGTTCAAGTTTTCCAGCAATTCTACAATATTCCGATGACCCTTCTTTCTGGCCAGCTCCAAAGCCGTCTGTCCCCTCTTATCTCTCACGTCTACAGCTGCGCCTTGCTCCAGCAGCCATACAACTGCCTCCTCCGCCCCTTCACACGCAGCCATCATCAAAGCTGTCCAGCCAAAGGCATCGCACGCATTCAGTTCTCGCTCCTCGCTAATGCTCATTAGCGACAGCTGCTCCACATCGTTGGCCATTGCCAGTCGAAAGAAGCGATTTCTATCATAAGGATGTCTGGGCGGTTTCTTAGGTAACGTAGCATTGCATTTAGATGTCTCGATGACTTCTATTTTGGCTGTTGCGGGAGTCTCTAAAATTTCCTTGTAGAACTGCTGCACTTCAGCTCCAGTCACGCCATCGATTCTGTGCTTCTCCGCCTTCCCCTTCGCCTGCTCCACAGCTCCAGCGTGCACAAAGCGCTTCAATGGCACATTTAGGATACTCAAAGCAACCCAGTTGGGATGCAAATCCTGCCCAGAAGAATTCATTTAACAAAAAACGTAAACAATATACAGAGCAGTGTTGCCAAGTGCTATATAACGAAATTAACTAATTTTTGCTCAAGAAGTGTGTAAGCACTTTACTTGAAATTCAAATATAATTGAATAAATATTGACAGAAAATAAATAGCAATAATTTGGCTTATCATTTGGAAAAAAAACAATTTTTTCTAAGTACAACAGAAAATAATAGTTTTAATATTTATAACAATAAAAACTGTTTATATTTGTCGATATACAGTAATCGACCACCACTATTTATCGCATCGCCTATCGCTATTTCTTAGCTAAATGCCAGGCCAAGCGCGGAGATGTGAATTTCACAAACTCATTTAAATAGCCAACAAATAAAACGGCCGACATATAGCCATTAGAAGATATTCGTAATTAGTAAGTTAAATCTAGGAAATGGCAATTGATTAAAGTTTGTTAAAGAAAGAGCTAACGAAGAACGAGCATTCCAAAAGTGCGCAGTAAAAATCAATAACTGTTTGTGGCACACACACATACACGCACACCCACATGTAAAACGCTTAGCCTGCGAGCAACAAGCACCCACACACAAACAGACATACAAAATGTCCGACGAAGAAGAAGAGTCCTTGTCGGAGGGCTTTTCAGCGAGCGAAGAGGATGAGTGGAAACCGAGCAAAGATGCGCGCGGCGGCGAATCCTCCGATGACGATGACAGCGAATTTGAGGAGTCGCCCGGTGGAGCAGCAGCAGCGGGCGCTGCAGCCAGCGCCAGCGGACGCTCCTCATCGTGCGCCAATAAGAAGAGGCAAGTCAACCAATCAATCAATCAAACACCAAGTTGACAATATTAATTCATCATTTTGTATTCCTTCCACAGAGAGCAGAAGCCGCCTAGTGGCATCAAAGGCGCCTCGGTGAAGAAGCGAAAGTCAAGCGGTCAATCGTTGCGCTCGAAGCTCTATAAACAATATCGACCGCTTCCGAAAACCTTTCCCACTTCCCCCACTCAGCAGAATTCACCAACAGCTTCGGCTTCGGGTTCTGCCAGCCGCTTGACGGCCTCAAAAAACGCCAAAACGCCCAATGAAAGCAACAACACAATAGACTCCAGCAGCGAATCGAGCGTGGATGATTACCTAGTCAATCCAGCTGACCTCGATTTAGGTTCCAGTTTCTTCATGGCCAACCGAGAGAAATCCCCCTCAGTCCCGCCTCCGCAATTCGATTGCAATGCGGGCATAGCGCAACTCTCTGACTCCGGCTCGGGCTCAGAGGATAACAACGATAGCAGTTTGGAGGATAAGGCTTTTGATTTTCGTGATCTACTCGAGAATGCGAACAGCTTGGAGCGCACACGCGAAGCGCTCCTCAGTAAACGGAATGCCACAGCCACACCGCCGGCTACCAAATCGGCTGCAATGGATGTCAATGCTTTGCTTGCATTGGGCGAGAACCAAAACTACGCCAAACAGACGGATAATAACCAACCAGCGGAGATGCACGAATCGAGGCGTCGTTCGCTAGGTGCAGGAATAGGAAGAGCTGCAGCAACTGGAGCAGGAGCAGAGGCAACTGGAGCTGCCACGCAGCCACCGCCCCTGGATGCACCATCGCGTCTCAGCAAAACCAAATCAACACGCATCAAGAGGCATACCAAGACCAGGCCAGCTTCCACAGTTCTAGCCGCCGGCGACACCGATGACTCCGACTTCGAGGAAGTTGCAGGTAGGAAACGAAAGTAGACGAAACAGTTGAAACACAAATCCAGGTGTATGTAGTTGAAGCAGGTGATCAAGTTGGTTGTGCTGTCGCATCTTTGTTGTTTGTTGATTCTGATAGTTAGGCAAAAATTCTAGAAATTCTCCAAAGACAAAGAACATATACACGATATATATAATAATAAGCTTCCAAAAATTGCTACGTTTGAGACTGCGTAGGTTTTGTGTTTTAAAACGAAGATACAGATGAAATTATACGAGCAAATGAAAGTCTATATATCTATATATATGGATATATATCTGCTATACAAAATTAACTACTCTATATACATAATTATATATACATATTTAACTGTTAAACCAGGCTCAGGCAGTTTGCATTAGCTTAATTTTTTCTAGAGTTTTGGACTGTATAAAAAAGTTTTCACATAATTCTAGAAGTATAAAAAAAAAGTTTAAATTGGAAAACAAATTTTCGTTCAATGAAAATTTGAAAACAACTTTGAAATGCCTGAACAAGTTTTTAAATAGTGAAATAAATTACGTAATTTAAAGGTTTTGCAAGTAATGATTAAAAACATGCAAAAACAAAAGTCCTAATTTACAAAAACGAAAATAATCTGACCTCAAGAATTTTTCTATTAAAATAAAAATAGTATTTAAAAAGTTTCTTAACAATTTATCTAAAAAATAGTAGTATCTTATATATAAAATTCGATCTTCAAATTTGACCTTCAACTAGAATTTTTTAACAAAATTTTATATATATTTATTAATCCATTTATTATATAAATATTTATTTAAATTCTAATTTAAATAAAAATAATAGTAAATATTTTTATTTAAATTAATTTTAAAATTATTCCACTTAAATGGGAAGTAAATTTAAAAGACTTTTCTCATCGTTGCGATTTTAAATAATTTCCAAAATTGTTTTCGATTTAGAACCACTAAAATATTTATTATTTTTTGTAGATAAAACTTAATTTGAAAACTTTTCCTAAATAGAGAAACTTTAAAGCTATGCTAACTGTTTGGGTCCTATATCTTTATAGTCTCTTAGACTGAATATGGCATAGAAATGGCACTTTAGAGCGCTTTAGTTAACACACGCTTTATGCA